CCCGCCGCTGCGGCCGCCCCTTCCAACCCCCCCCCGCCCCCCCCCCCCCCCCCAAAGTAAGAACACACACAAATGTTGTTTCTTTTTTTGTACACAAACACACAGATAAATATAGATATTGTCAGGATATGCAGTTTAAAGGAAGGAAGACTCACACACACACACATGCTGGTTTTTAACCACAAACTCGGGCAAACCCGGGGTGTTTGATTTCCTGTGAATTTCTCAATCTTTCTGTAACACAATCCAAAAATGAAAAAAAAATCAACAATTTAACTAATTTAAACGTGTAATTTAAGGATGTTGGAGCTTTCGATATCTCATTAAAACGTACCGAAGTGGCATCATCTCACCACAGGAGGCAGCACAAAACCATCTTTTTTTAATTTTTTTTATTTTACTTTTGCAATACCTGTTCTTTTCAAAGTGGCTCAAATGTCAAGGTGAAAATTGAAAATAATTAAAAACTTTGTATTAAATGTATTATTTTTAAATAAAAAATCCCCCCAAACTTTAAATTGACGATGCCCGGACGTGTCTTTACTCGGTTAGCTTTCAAACCCACAACCTGAGTGAGAGGGAGCGTGTGTGTCAGACAATCACTACATCCGTCACATTCCTCCGTGTGTGAGTGTAGCAGGTGTCCCGTGCAGTGAAAGCAGCAGTTTTGTCCAAACACCGATGCGCGGCCCTTATTTACCAGCTGAAATTTGATTATCCGACCGTCTGGACTGGAGTGTTTTTGGCACCAGCAGCGGTGTAATCTGACCACTGCTCTGTCCTATCAGCTAAAAATACTGTATTTGTCAATGGACTTCTGTATTGTTGGGGCAGTTTTAGGTTCACATTAGCTGGACAGGATTCATCCACGTTAGGAACAAGGATGGAGTCGACGCCGAACATACTGAGGAGAAGATTCCCGACAAACGCTGTACTTTCATTTTTCATGGCTGTTTCACAAACATTCACCTTTAAATGCCCGAGGAGTTTAGCCCTGCGGTCAGGAACCATATGGTCGACTCGTAGAAGATCAGGATCCTCATTCTCGTCCTGACAATTAGGACCAGGGGCTAAAACCCTGCTGGATCTGGAGCACGGCCAGAGGAATGGAGGCCAGCGCAATGGAGAGGAGAGGAAATCGCCTGATAAATAAGGAGCTTAAATGAAAAAGACTAAGGCAAAGCGGGGGAAAATGGAGCCAGACGGCGATGTGAATGGAGGGTGAAGACGGCTTGAGTGGATCGATGAGGAGGACAAGGAGGAGGAGGTACGAAGAAGGAAAGCAGCTGGATGGGTGTCATGAATGCGATGGGAATAATGATAAAAAAAAAAAAAAGGAAACATAGAATAAAAGTCGACTAAGTGGACTAAACAATGTTTAGCTGATTAAGCGTTGCAGAGGAATCCATGTGCACAATGACACATCCATGAGTGAGCGCAGAGGCAGAGCGGCTTAATTACAGCCTGAAGAGACGAGAGTCTTCATCTGAGCGGAAACCAGGGAACAAGGAGACGCGGGAGAAAGGAGTATTGAAAAGCAAAAGACTTGTTATCAACTATCAAATATTTCCATGTCATACCCACATTTATAAAAAAAAAACACTTATAAAACACTAAAAAA